CCCCAAAACCCCAAAACCCCAAAACCCCAAAACCCCTTTAGGTTCTGAATATTGAAAATAATAGCACTAACCATAGGTTCTACCCATCTTACTCTTCAGCATATCCCTTACATTCTGCGGTATTCTTTTATCTTCAAGGGATTGCTCAATTGCTTCGTAAGCTTCATTTAGTATATCTGTGATGAAAGATAGTATTTGGTTCAGTGCTTTCCTAAATTCTGCAACTTTTTCCTTTGGTACATCAACACATTCAACTTCTCCAAATGCAAAGTCTAGAAAATGTTATAAATGAACATACCTGAGTCCTGGAATGTGGCTTCTGTTGGAGGATCAGCTACTGTGAGAACCAAGCCAGCAGGATTGAGCTTAATCTTAGCTAATTGAACATGTTTTCCCTGACCCATGTCTTTAAAGTGGAAAGTCACGTTTTTCATAGTCTTTTGTACTGATTTGATAAATTCAAACTGATGTAGTCCTTCATCATCTAGCCCATCATATTTGGTGTAGTATCCCCAAGATTTGAGGATTAGGTTAAGGTAGAGATAGCCAATATCTTTCACAACAGAAGACCTACACTCATCATTTATCTTCAAGCTAGCTATTTTGGTCGATGGGAATAAAGCCATTTGGAAGGCTTCATAATCGCCCCATAAAGGAGAAGTATAATCAGCTTTTGCCCAAATCCTATTCTTCTGGCTATCAATTCTCATGCTAACAGAAGAATTATAGATTGCTGTGTCTGTAGTTACTCTCATAGTAAATTCACTTGGGAATTCAACTTTAGGAGCGTCAGCGTTATCGTTATTCAAAAAGCCTTCTGTAAGCATCTCGCTTAATGAATCAAACACTCCGTGATCTTCTTCTGCCGAAGCAATTGAGATAAGCCCGATGAGAAGGATAAGCAGGCTGGAGAACTTGATAGTCATTTTATTAATTACTAATGTTACCTAATAATTCAATAATATGAGGATTGTCAGGGGTTTTGGGGTTTTGGGGTTTTGGGG